GTGGAACGAAGCCATTATCGTCCCCATCTTTAAAAAGGGTCGACGTAATTCGTGCGACAACCATAGGGGTATCAGTCTGTTACCAGTTGCGTCTAAAATATTGGCTGCTGTCATGCTTCGCAGACTGTGCAAAATACGTGAAGGATTGATTCGCGAAGAGCAGGCTGGGTTTCGTTCAGGTCGTGGATGCATTGATCATGTGTTCACCCTTCGTCAGTTGTTGGAACACCGCCACACGTATTGCAGGCCAACGATCGTTGTGTTTCTTGATATTAGGGCTGCCTTCGATTCGTTGGACAGAACTGTGCTCTGGAACTGTCTGTTAGAGAGAGGTGTACCTGAGAAATTTGTTAACATCTTGAAAGCCCTATACAGAAACACCTCAGGTAGAGTGAGGGCATACAACCAACTATCACCACTGTTCCCAACCAACAGTGGGGTTAGACAGGGTTGCCCAATCTCTCCATTTCTCTTTAACTTTGCCATCGATGACATTCTGGAGTCAGCTCTGAAGGATGTGCGTGAAGGTGGTGTAGATCTGCTACCTGGAGATAGACTTTTCGACCTCGAGTATGCAGACGATATCGTCTTACTGTGCGATAGCATGCAGGCTGCCCAAATCGCACTTAATCAGTTGGCGATCAGTGTCTGTAAGTATGGTATGTGCTTTGCGCCGTCTAAGTGCAAAGTACTGTTACAAGATTGGCAGGAGCCTGTACCTGCACTCACTCTTGCGGGTGAGCCGCTTGAAGTTGTCGATAAGTTTGTGTACCTAGGTAGTTGTGTGAGTGCTGGCGGAGGGGTGACGGATGAGATTTCCAACCGTATAATGAAAGCTAGGGTGGCATACATCAACTTGAGCCACCTCTGGCGCCGTCGCGACGTTAGCCTGGCTGTCAAAGGTCGGGTATACAATGCTTCGGTGCGGGCTGCGCTGCTCTACGCCTGTGAAACCTGGCCTCTCCGAGCTGAGGATGTGAGGCGACTCTGCGTGTTCGATCACCGCTGTCTCCGCAGGATTGCTTGCGTTCGATGGCATCATCGCGTGAGTAATTCTGAGGTTCGGCGGCGTGTGTTTGGACACAGTGGAGATCACCATTCATTGAATGTCGTCATCTGGAAACACCGGCTCCGGTAGCTTGGACATGTGCTGCGAATGTCACCCCAGAGGCTTCCGTACAGGTCTCTGTTCGCTAGCCCTGGGACGGGATGGAAAAGGCGGAGAGGTGGTCAGTCCATGACGTGGCGTCGTGGGATGAAGGATTTCTGTGCTAGATTAGCATCGGTTGGTGTGTCACGACTCCCTGGTTGGGGTCTGAGAGATAGCTCAAATCGATGGCTCGAAACGTTATCGGATATGGCCAAGAATCGTAATCAATGGCGAATGTGTTGCGATTTCCTTCTTTCTTCCATTCCCGATGATAGTTAACGAACACTGTTTGAACCTGTTAAGAATGAGTGTTTTCCTTCCAGATGAAGTTCTTTATTCGTTCTCTACTTATATATATTTTTTCTTTTCCTGCCTTCCTCCCTTTTTTCATCTATGTTGTTTTATTATTATTGTGTGGCGCATCCTTCTTGGTGCCATATTGTACCAAGTTTTAATGAGTTTAAATAAATAAATAAATAATCTCTCTTCCTTAGACTTTCGATTCCATAGCAAACAACATATTCCCCACAAAGTTTGTACCATTCAAGTTATATTTTCACTTATTCTCATCGAATGATATATACTTTTTAAACTGTCGAAAGATTGTGATCTACGAGTTTTAATAAAATATTCATTGTAACTCAGCCTCTGGGTGAAATTCTAAGTATCGTGATGACTGTAAAGACTTATGGTACTGCCTGCTACCGACGTCGAAGTATGTAAAACGGAATTTAAACCCGAGACTTTTCTCATGAGACACGAGTGCTTAAACCACCTGTCATCCATTTGAGATGATGTTTGCAGCTCGTAATGAAATTCATCTTGGTCAAGGTAAAGGGGAAAGCTATTTCGCGTCACAAACTGATAGAGACGCTATCTCACCAGTCCCACTTGATTTCCTTCATTAGCGTTTCATTTATTTTTGTTATTAAGGAGTGACTATTTGTACAGGTTTTCTATGCGAAGAAGCACACACATTCTAAGAGGTTACTGGTGGTCAGCAACTTCCTTTTGTACTATACTGAGACAGTAAAAAATTGGTTCTGATTAATTACCACTTACTGAAGAGTGCTGGGATTACTGTTGGTAGTAGAATCTCGATTGTTTCCGGTATTGCAAGACATTTCATCACTCGAAGCTCACTATGCCTCTTCATTTCATGGAATTGGTGATGAGTTCACATGTTTTGATTGGACAATACGTCGTTTGTTTTCTGCAGACTGAATTCTATTCCTCTGTGAGTAGTAGGAACTGAAAGCAGAATACTCAGCTATGAATCACATTGTAATTAAGTCGAGTTGATCCGTCACATCAATCAATCGAGTTTGTGAAAGCAGTTATCATCACGAATCGACACGGAGTGTAGACCGGTAGACAGACATTCCATTGTAGTCTAGTACTGTTCAGCTGTCCCTATACGGGACTTCGTGTGGAATTTAGCTCAGATTTGTCACTTTTAGTGAACAAACTACCATGCATTTTGTCGGCTGTTTTCTACTGATGGATTGTTTCCTAATTCGAGTGATTCTGAATCCAGCGCAACCAGCATCTATTACGTTCCCGCACCGAGTATATTTTTACATTTTTTCGGTGGAGTTTATGATTGGGGATAGGATAGGTTGGGATACGTTTCTGGGCTGATCAGTGGTGAGTAACTGATGGCCATTTATATTTAGAATTTGTGGAGAACTGGTTGATTTTAGTATAGTTTTCGTCAGTACTGTTTGATAATTCTCGCAGTTTTATTGGTTCGTGACTGAATACTACTGCGACTTTTCTTGTACGTAGTCAAAAGGAATTACCATAATGAGCAAATGTTATTTCTTATGACGCTGTGGATTTCTGAAGAAGTTTTCATAACTACACAAGTCATAAGAAGATAATTCGTTGTTGATAAATTTTCTCAAGAATGAGAATATAAGAAAATTCAGAGGTATATGCATGTATTGCACTGAATGAAACTTGACTTGATTAGTTGGAGCCTATTCCAGTTAAAAGAACCACTTATAAGTCATCTTTTATTTACAGGGACACACTGACTTTCCACAGACTTCTCGGGAATACAAATATAGCCCGGAATGTAGACTGAGTGATCATAAAGATAAAAGTATAGCATACTCATCACTCACAAAGTCCTTTTCACTAAAATTAAATAGCATTAACTTGAATAAATCCCGCCAAATTTACCACTTCACTAGTTTACTAGCCAGTCACACGGCGAGAAGAAGAGATAAGGTTGGGTGTGACGCTAGCGACCGTACCACCAAAAATGAATCTAATGCCAAATAAATTTCGTGTGACAGAAAATCTTTAACACATAAAACTAATTTTCACAGAAATCGGACAGACGCAAAGACATTGTCAGTCAGCCTAATTGTCTCGTCTCGATGAAAGCAAAAGTAAGCATGGGGACATGCAGTGTACGAAGCTCGGGAGGCTGCTGACATTGCTAAAGAGATGAGAAGACACTCCATAGAAGTCCTAGTAATCTTCTAGAGCAGACGCAATGGATGTGGACTCTCCATTATGGGTTTCACCAGGTGGACACACGAGAAATCAGATAGGCTTCATCTCAATCTGAAGAAATAGGAGACACATTCTACTGAGCGCAAGATGGGAAGTAGGAACAGATGAGGGTTCAGACCAATATATATTTCAAGGAGGCTTCAAAGAAGTTTTAGATAGACCACAAATCAAGTTCAACTGAAGGATGAAAGTACAAGGGATACATTAACTGCAGCCATCAGAGCAACACTGGAGACACTATTTAGCATCGCCGAGGAGACGTGTTTGGAAGAGCACCGGAGCTCTCTGAAAGTGATGTTTGAAGGGAAGCTGTATAGTCTTTCTAGTAAGGAAGAAGGAGCAAGACATGGGACAGCACTGTACAGACACGGAGGTGATGAAGATACAAGAAGGCCAAGAAATACTAGCAGTGGGAAGGAAGTCACTTCTTTCGTTAATCTAGGCAGCGTTGTTTCACAATTATAGGCGTCACGGATGAAGGTGTCAAAGGCGGGATCGAGAAGGCAAGACAGACCTCCATCACTCTGAAATCAGTCCGGGAATCTACTGCACAAATCTTGGACAAACAGCAAGATTTGGATTTTCTACACCAATGTCAAGTCAGTCATTATCTGTGATTCAGGCACTTCGCGTATCAACAGAAGTATTAACAACAGCCACCTGCTGACTTTTACCAACAGATGTCTTCGCTCCGTACTGAAGATCAGATGGAGGAAAGGATTAACAACACGAAACTCCGGGGGATTAACCAACCGAGAACCTGTTGCCCAGCAAATATGCCGAAGAAAATGGAGAACCGATTGTACACACGCTGAGGAGACAAAAAATTGTTGTCATAACAATAAAAGCAGTAATGCGAGTAGGATATACAAGATGTAAAGTGTTAGCATACATACAAGAATGTCCACAAGCCTTGGAATCGTAGGGATTCAAACTTGAAATCTCATTCAAACACAATTGCTTCATTTAACGATCCTACTGATGTAAGCGATCAAAGTAATTTGAACTAACAGATACCATACCAGTGACTATGACATCAACTACATAGGTAAGACAGGTCGGTCATATTACCACATTTTTTCGCTTGATGCGATTTGAGGAGAAAATATTCACTTCGATAATATTACTCCATTTTATCAACATATTAATTATTATGCCATAGTTTATACATTAATGGTTCAGTCTGAAATGAGATTATATATACTTGTGGGTAATAACCATGTGATCATAGTAAATGGGTTTTATCGATTGTCTGATTTAAAAACCCTCAGAGTGCTCAGCGTTCACTTACTTATATTCAGTCCAAGGATATTTATTTTTTAAAATGACACATCATAATTATGCCCCTAGATTACACCATGTTCAACCGGGTGTTTCAGCTTACGAAAAGTCAGCAAATGAAGCCTTGGAATATTTACAAGGAGCAGTTCGACAAATGGCTCTATCTCCACATTTATGTCGTACAAAGACAATAGCAAAGGAATTACAAAAGACAGCAGATTTTCTAGCAATAATTAAACTAGAAAATGATTTATATAAACGGGCATCCAAAGAGTGGTGTAATAATTTTGATCAACGTGAACTCGTTACACAAAAACAGGCCTTATTAAGGTTGAAAGAGAAGTTCGCAGATCCAGGTGGACAATTTTTACCACGTTACCGTGTCAATATGAATATGGGACCTTTACTTTGTAGTTCAGAAGATTGCAGAAAAAGAGAAATGAATAAGAAAAATGATGAAACTGATGGAATTGGTTGGACTGATACATCATATAAAGCAGCTCATGCCTGGGCTCAACATGAGCTGATGGGATTAAATAGTGAACTAGCACCTTTAGCCTATGCTGCTAAACGACGATTAGAACAATATACAGATGATTTGGAAATCACAAATCGTTATAGTGCGTATCGTCGTAATATGGGCTACTTAGCTAAGAGTAAAGCGGGGGAAAAAGGAGCTGTAGAAAATATAGTTGATCTAAACATAAGACCAGAAATAGCTCCAAGATGGAATCTCGGTAGAGAATGGTTGAGGAGTAAAAATGTGAATACAGAGAACTACCTTGCACCAGGGGATTCGTTAGATTGTGGAGTTAATCAAGACGAATTTATGCAACGGTACAACATAAAAGTTGATCCTATTAAAGAAGCAGGTCTGTGGGCAGATTTCCCTGGAAAGTCGGAGTATCAAGACAATTTTTCTGCACCGTCAATGGTTGGCACCTCTGAAGAATCTGCTCATTTTCATGGGAGGGGATCACATATAGAATTGGATGCAGATCGAGTTCAGAACAAAGGTTACCTCGTCAATCCTACACCGAATTATATGCGTGACTATAGACCTCCTAGACAATTAGAGCCAGACATTTTGATTTCCGAGACACAAGATAGATTTCAATCACCTGAAATCTCACTACAGCGTAAAATAAAAAACGTTTATTAAGATGACAATCAGTTTGTTTTTGGCTCTTTATTATTTTGGAAATAATTATTTTGTCTGTCGAGCAAGATATGAATTATTAAATAATCGAAGAATTAGCATCACTAACACCACTTTTCTACATTTAAAATTTGTTGAACTGTATCGCAAATTAACTGAATTCAGAAATTTGCTTGTTTTAGTTCAATGCATCCTTTTGTTGTCTCTGGCTAAATAAAGATTAGTGATCTAGATAAATATTTATAATCCTACTAGTCTGTCGTTTATTTTTCATACTATTCCGTTGGATGATATTGTGACCAGATGTTCGTGTATATTATCACAACTACAGTCTTAGTTGTCTGAATGATGGCTCACTTATGAGTGCAAGCAACGGTGAAACAAAAACTACAATTTATGACAACAAATATTCTCTTTACTATTCGTGATAACCTATTTTAAATTGGATTTTACGTGTTTAAAATGTATTCAGATGACAAGGAGTTCAAGAAGTCATTTCATATTACCGAATAAATAATTAATTAAAGTAACACTATACTCACTGTTATTTAGTAAACTATAGTTTTACAGTTATTAAATAAAAACAATCCCATTTATAAACGAAGTGCTATGCAGTTGTCCGATGCAGTTGGTTGACAAACGAACTAATCTCTCATGGCGAGTCGACATTGAGGCCAGTCACAGTCGGTACATCGACAATGAAATTAAATATGAACTTTGATACTAGATACTATCAACTGACATTTCATACGAGAAATCTACAGAAGCACTGACATAGTTAAGTGAGTTCAAATTTTATATTAGTCAAGCTGAGGTCCCCTATCTTGTTCCTGTGGTTATTACAAAAATATTCATCTGCTTACTTATACACTGGGATGATCAAGGATTTAAACCAGTCTGATGGGAACGTCTTATATCCAACCGTGCTTGAGTCAATCATTAATTACCGTTTGGCAGGATCAACACTGGTAATAACATCCTACGTCTTAGCCACTTGCTACGTTGAAAAGTGAAACATTAGCTAGATTTGAGGAGAGATGACTACGTCTAATTCATCTTAAACATACATATTAGGTGATTGCTGTGCAAAATATATCCGTTATAAACCGCTGCACATTGTGTTCCAACATTATATCAGCTTCTCCAATACTAAACCATATCAGCTAAAGGATATAAAGATTGAAACACCAACAAATCATGAACTGCAGGCCTATTATAAAGATTAGGAAAACAATTGGTAAATATATAATGAACGCTTCAAAGAGGACCTAAAAATTAGTGATATTACTATCAATAAAAATAGTGACAGCTCTAGCACGTCTTCATCTAATAAGTCATTATCAACATGGACCAACGAGATACAAAGCGCTAATGTGATATACAAAGTAATATGTGTAGGGTAAATGTAAGACCCATGTATCCACAGTAGAGGAGTAGTTACACGCTCTAATGAACTCAAAATCTTGCATTATATTTGATGACAAAGTCAGCTGTTCAACTGAAACTGTATATTCACTGTACAACAAAGTAGCAGTTTTGTCTACGGAGGGAGAGAGCTCTTTAGTGGTTCCGTCATAGGATGATACTGAATATCATTCCAGTCTTGCAACAGGCTGAGATGAGTGTATCCGGTTCTCCTGAAAACCAGTCAATGGGTACATCATCGTGTGAATCAATATGAGAATTCCACATTGTATCAAATGTACTGTTTGTAATAAAGCCATTTGTTGTTATTATTCCTTAGTATATGAAGTGGTATACTTACTCCCATATTGCCATCAGAGATTCATGGATGAAATCAAAAGCCATCATTGAGGGGACGTAAGTGAATAGGGAAGTAACCACCGTAGAAATCAGTGTCTTTTTGTTGACATCCTTATTTTATGGATTTCAAAGTATCTGTCAGATAATACTTAACCACTTAATACTGCAACTTCATGATACTTCGAACCGCACATATTTATTACTGTATGCACTGGAAAGACGGACTCACGAGGAGCAGTAGTTTCCAGGGTATAAAAGGTTATAAGTGTCAAGATAAATGTACCAATTTGAGATATTTCTCACCGTGTCGTCAACAATCCCTGATTCCTGGCATCCCAATGACCCAAACCAGGCATTCTACATAAGCCTACATGATACAGACCAATAAACAATTACCTCATGAACTAGTGACATGTTTTCATCTGAACACAACCTACACTTACTCACAATTCGTCGAGGAAGTTGGTGGATGTGTATGAAAAGACAAATTCTAAACAACCTCAATCAGTGAAGCTTCATAACTTCACAGATCGCCTTACCTCCCATGACACACACTACGTCTAATCTCAACATTACCACTACCATGATGAACCCGTCAACGTCAGCCAACGACCAGACACTTGCGATCATCAAACGCCTTTTCGTATCCTCACAGAAGTCCTAGGGGATTCAGTAATCTGCTATCCATTAGACAAAAACTTACGTGTGTAACAGGATATCACGTAAGCTCGGAGGTTGGTAGAAGTCTCAAATACGAGACCAGTCTTATGCGTCGGTGTTTAGGTCTCGTCAGCCTACCAGGACTGATGCAGCTTCTCGAATACACAAAGTCGCTTACACGTCCATCCATCCTAATGCATATACTTAAACTAAGAGCCAATTCACATCTATCCTGAAGCATAATTTGCTAGCAACAAAGTGCGTGCTAAGCTTACGCAGACTCCTGCTGAGCGAATACAACAATTGTAGGTTGCCAATGAGTATGTCTGTATTGCGGAATCTGTCAAGGTATGTATACCCGATGAATACGCTCTCATATTCTCCCACCTTCTTCGTGTGTCTTTACCGAAGTCGACAGTATTTTAGGCGTCATATTAGCTTAGCTCAGTACTCTCACCGTCTGACTGTGATTATGACTAGAAGACTTACCTGTCTTCTGATGGACTGGGGTGATAAAATATCTACACCGGTGTCAAAGAACTATTTCGAGCTTCCAGAATACAACTTCTTATCCGGTCCACAATCTTTCGTTGTTTTGCTTAATTGCACCCAAATTCAAAATATCTGGTCCTGTTGCTTATTCCCGTCTTATGTAAGATACAGTTTTTCCAACCTCAGATGGGGTTGGGGGGGGGTCAGTGCGTATATCCCACTCAAACTGGGTCGAAATTGTGGGCGATTGTTGTGCAGCTTTATTTCAGTTGAGAATGCTGTTAAAAGTATTCTGTTCAGATTTCTGGAGTCCCTCATTGAACATTTGGAAACACGTGGGCAATACCGCTACATTTCTTATTCATGCGTATGCATTTAGTTATCCGACATCCTTATCTATTACAATGCAAGTTATTATCATTGTCATTGTTATTCCCTACAGTCCGAGTCGAACATATGACTTCAGCAGTACATCTCCATTTCATCCAGGTTCTGTAGTCGTCTTCAACTGGCTCCACGACTAAGCATAAGCTCTGATCTCCGCCTTACACGATCTCCTGCATGTTACATTCGGACACCCAGTTCGTGGTTCCCCGTTCGGGCCCCACTCGAAGGCCTGAAGCGTGATGTCACTCATCGGTCTCCTCAGCGTGTGTACAATCCGTTCTCCATTTTCTTCGGCATATTTGCTGGGCAACAGGTTCTCGGTTGGTTAATCCCCCGGAGTTTCGTGTTGTTAATCCTTTCCTCCATCTGATCTTCAGTACGGAGCGAAGACATCTGTTGGTAAAAGTCAGCAGGTGGCTGTTGTTAATACTTCTGTTGATACGCGAAGTGCCTGAATCACAGATAATGACTGACTTGACATTGGTGTAGAAAATCCAAATCTTGCTGTTTGTCCAAGATTTGTGCAGTAGATTCCCGGACTGATTTCAGAGTGATGGAGGTCTGTCTTGCCTTCTCGATCCCGCCTTTGACACCTTCATCCGTGACGCCTATAATCGTGAAACAACGCTGCCTAGATTAACGAAAGAAGTGACTTCCTTCCCACTGCTAGTATTTCTTGGCCTTCTTGTATCTTCATCACCTCCGTGTCTGTACAGTGCTGTCCCATGTCTTGCTCCTTCTTCCTTACTAGAAAGACTATACAGCTTCCCTTCAAACATCACTTTCAGAGAGCTCCAGTGCTCTTCCAAACACGTCTCCTCGGCGATGCTAAATAGTGTCTCCAGTGTTGCTCTGATGGCTGCAGTTAATGTATCCCTTGTACTTTCATCCTTCAGTTGAACTTGATTTGTGGTCTATCTAAAACTTCTTTGAAGCCTCCTTGAAATATATATTGGTCTGAACCCTCATCTGTTCCTACTTCCCATCTTGCGCTCAGTAGAATGTGTCTCCTATTTCTTCAGATTGAGATGAAGCCTATCTGATTTCTCGTGTGTCCACCTGGTGAAACCCATAATGGAGAGTCCACATCCATTGCGTCTGCTCTAGAAGATTACTAGGACTTCTATGGAGTGTCTTCTCATCTCTTTAGCAATGTCAGCAGCCTCCCGAGCTTCGTACACTGCATGTCCCCATGCTTACTTTTGCTTTCATCGAGACGAGATAATTAGGCTGACTGACAATGTCTTTGCGTCTGTCCGATTTCTGTGAAAATTAGTTTTATGTGTTAAAGATTTTCTGTCACACGAAATTTATTTGGCATTAGATTCATTTTTGGTGGTACGGTCGCTAGCGTCAAACCCAACCTTATCTCTTCTTCTCGCCGTGTGACTGGCTAGTAAACTAGTGAAGTGGTAAATTTGGCGGGATTTATTCAAGTTAATGCTATTTAATTTTAGTGAAAAGGACTTTGTGAGTGATGAGTATGCTATACTTTTATCTTTATGATCACTCAGTCTACATTCCGGGCTATATTTGTATTCCCGAGAAGTCTGTGGAAAGTCAGTGTGTCCCTGTAAATAAAAGATGACTTATAAGTGGTTCTTTTAACTGGAATAGGCTCCAACTAATCAAGTCAAGTTTCATTCAGTGCAATACATGCATATACCTCTGAATTTTCTTATATTCTCATTCTTGAGAAA